GCCATGTGCAGTTGCGGCTCCCACTGAGCTTTAGGTTGGTCACGGTACAAGGGTATGAGGGTAGAAACCCAGACAAAGAGCCTTGACAGAGTATCTTCAGAACGCCTTTTGCCCTGCCTGATGCAAACGGAATTGAAGCTTCCCAGAAAGGTATACAACACCTCCACCTGCCTTTCTTCTTCGAAGAAGCAACAGCCCTGTAACTTCTATGTGAATATTGATGGGATTTTTACACACACACACACCCCCCCCCCCCGGATTTAGAGATTCAATAATTTGGAGCGATTTAAAGTGTTAGTTGCTCTTTCAGTTTGATCCCTTAGATTGCTTTCTGTTTGCTAATTAATATTTTCAGGTGAGGTTGTTCTGCTTTTATTTGGTAGTATTTAGTGCCACCTTCCAGTTCAGAATGCCATGGGGAAACGGGAACAGTAATAATATTTGCCTCCCGCATAGTGAACTTTGCCGTTTCGGGCCTATCTGTATTCATGGAAATCATCATTCTTCTGCAGGTAAGGAGAAGCTGAGGGAGTTAGCCATCTGCCCAGAGGACTGTCGATTGTGGGCAGCTAGGCGGTGCTCTTAACCCTTGATGAGACCCACTCGCTTCCAACGAGCAGTGGAGCACGCTTACCAAAGCTGCCGAGAAGCTTGCAACAGCTCTACTGTTTAACAAAAATAAGTAAAAATGTTAGCATACGCTGCCCTGTGGAGAGGAGGGAGGCGTTCCTGCCTCTGTACGTAGGCCTGTTCGGTTGGCACTGCTACATGCCCAGGCCTTGCAGCGCTGTGCTGGTGTTTCTGTTTCACATCGATCTGACCGGGCTTCTTTTCAACAGTGGCGTCTGGAACCTTGTCTGCTGTCATGGGAATGAGGTTTTACAACTCCAGAAAAGCAATGCCCGGGATAATTGCTGGTGCCAGGTAGTCACCTGTCTTTTGTTCTCGTCTGTATTTTTGGATAGGCATTTTATTTAACTTATTTGTGGATTATATTGTTTTAAAAAAGTTATGTGGTAGAGATGAAATCTTACAGTGGAGTTTGGCTAAGTGATATCATGTCAGTTTTCTTCCTTGTTCTTTGCGGGATTTTTGCCTCTCCCCCCCCCTTTTATTTTATAACAACTGTTCTGTTCGACAGTTTACTGATGGTTGGACGGCTTGGATTGCAGCTCATGGAAAAGCCTCTTAAGCCATAAGTCTGCATCAAGTCACTTGAAGATATGTGACTGAGAAGCCTGAAAATGCGACCGCCTAAATGTGCTACACAAAAGTGGAAAAGGCACTGCTGCCCGTGCATGGTATTTCTCATACGCAAACACACGCAGGTTGTGTTTTTAAAGGACCGACATTGAGAGCCCTTGTTACGTCTTCCAAAATGGTATTACTTGTCTTAACATTTTCTGCGCTGCAAAACAAGAAAATATGAGTATAACTTTAGTTCAGCTTCTGGTCCTGCAACTTTACTGTAGGCAAGGACCTCTGGTACCTGCACACATACAGTTGCAGGATTGAAGTTTAAACATACATCTGGCACGTTGAGACATCAGTCTCAAATCATCTATGCCTCTAAAACAAGGGGAGAAGAGTTGTCAATTTGTCACTAATAATTAATACAAAAAACCTGCTTATTAAGTTAACCTTTCCCCTTCCGCTTCCCTGCCAGTTTATCCGCTCATCGTGTTTGTCAGTCAGGGACCTTGCTCTCCCAGCACCATGCGCCAGAACCTGGTCCCACAAAACACAATCATGGAGCAGGCTGTCAAGGGTCTGCTGTAACGCAACGAATGCAAACTTGTTACGTGCAATTACTTGTAAGCAGAAGTGCTCAGCTAAACATCATTATGTTTCACTTACTTCTACAGATTGTTACTCATAAATCAAAAATATGCTTTATTAGATAATGCTGAATTGTAGGCATAGCACTTGCATTTCATGAGAATCAAAATGTTACTCTAAATAAACCAACAAATTATTATTACAAACTTTTGTGTTCTACACAACTGTATTTTTTTTTTCCCTTTAATTGTTCATCTGGATTGATACAGTTTGGTGCCTTTCCCGTAGGGTGTCTGGATATATTTGTGAACATGGATTGTATAAATTATCTCTGTTCCATTCCCTGAATTCTAGTGACTTGTAAATATAAAAATCCCATGAACTGGGAGGAAGCACAGAGAACAAAAGCGTACAGACCATATATCCAGACAAGTGCTACATTAAAATCTTTTTTTTTCTTTCCTGAGAGAAATAATCTATTTCAGATTTGAAAAATGCTCTGTGAAAGTTTATTTGAAGACTGAAGGGCTCAGTTGATCAGTCTTTGTCCTCAGCTGATTCCCTTGATGCCTGAAATCATTCTAAATATAAACCTGCCATGCAGAAGTAATGCTGGGAGCTACATGTGGATGGTAACGTATCCCTTTTCTGGTCTCATTTAGCTTGCGTCCCTTTCTGCACAGATCGTGAGCTTTGTTTTCCTCAATCTTTCTTCTCTGGTGGCTGGTACTGGGAGAGATGGAAGTAGTGGGGTTGATCTCATCAGATTGGCAAGGCTCTGGAGTTGCTCAGAGTTCTCTTAAATATCAGGCTAGTAGCTGAGCAGGAGGGTGGCATCTCGTGGTCTTCCTTCCCTCCTTCCTTTGTCGCAGCAAAACATTGTGTAATTGTGTAATGCTGGTCTCAAGTCAGGTAACCTGCGAATTTGGGCTGCGGAATTCTGACAATAGAAAGCAGGGGATGGGACAGAGAAGCTTTTAAACTCTCAGAGCAAAGTGTTAAGCCTTGCTGCTGTTCCATGAGCTTTGGAAGGCGGTAGCTTGAATCGAGAACTGTTGGTAGAACTCCCGTTACCACTTTTTGTGTTCAGGAGAAACAGCAGTAATCCAGTGAAGGGGAGGAGAGAACAGCTGGAGCTGGAGCCTTACCTTTCTACCCCCCGGAACTCTTATCAGCATATACTAAGTTTCTTGAGTGTTAGATGGCATTTCTGCACTAACAGCTCAATGCATATTGGCGAACCAGAGTTAAAATGACTGTACAAAGCCTATTAGCCTCTTACTACTGTATTTTCTTGCTGTTTACAAGAATTATTTCTTAATGCTTGTCATGCTTTGACAAGTAAAGGCTGTTATGGTTACGTCAAAGCCGTTTCAATGTTCTTTAGCATATGCTAAGGACAGCGTGTTTCTTCTAGCCATATTTGGTGCCATAAATAGTACCTATTTATCTTTCTGCTCTAGGTGACTTATGGACACGTGAGCTCTGGACACGTTACTAGTTAATTCCTTGACCAGACTATGATTTTTTAACTCAGTCACTGACATCTTGTATTAGAGATGAGTGATTATTTTCTCTTTGTTTTTTAATTATAAAACCAGTGCATTTATGCCTGTTACAGAAAGTCTGAGATTGTCCTTCATTGCCATAGCCAGTTACAGATATATTCTACAGATAAATTAAGATGCATTTAAGTAGCATAGGGGCATCTGTTGTTACTAAGGGAATGACAAATACTTAAACCTAGACAATGGCAACTGAATTAAAGTCTCTAGTGCATTATTAATCAGATATCCCTATCCCTATCTAGCTCTTCCAGTACTACAGTGGCATTTTCTTTAGGTGCAATTTTCGTAACAAAATACTTACTTGACTTCTTGGTATAACTGGTTTAGATTAAATTGATTTCCAGTAAGTTAACAAAACCCATATATTATGGCACATTAGGTCAACAACAGGAATTTGAATTTTTATGTGCAGTTATAAAAGCCATACAAAGACATTTCTTTTTTACAGTGCTTAAAGTAATCATTAACAGCTTTACATCTTTAAAGAACATACTCATTTCATACTTTAAAATGGCAGCTTTAATGTCACTACTAAGTCTAAAGCATGTATTCTAAATGCAGTTGTTAACAAAAGTAGCCTAGCTCAACATCCTCAAAACAATTTCTTGTTTGTTGCAAGGTCCTTTGCGGGATATTACTATAAAACTCAGCATAGAAGCCAGGGAAAGTACTGAATGAGCATATAAACAGTGAGGTATTGCATTATTAAAGTTTGTCTGTGTTTTCAGGTGCCTAAGCTGGCCTTTAAGATCTAAACCAGATCTTCGAAGAACAATCTGATATCCTCTCTCGTGTAGTTTAGTCAACTTCTCTAGTTTGATGTAGTCATGTAGAAACAGGAGGTTACTCATAATTTATGCCTTTTTGGCATATGCCTTATTTATGCCTTAAAATGACTGACACAATTGCAGTGATTCAGGCTCCTTAAAATGTCACTGTGACACTCACTTGACAGGACAGATATGAATCTCCACAGATCTTTGACCAAAAACGGTCGTAAGTTAATTACAACAGTAGAACCTAATTTCTGGGTTTCACTACAGCTTGGCGAGGCAACTTTAGCATTCGGTACTTGTTTAACTATTTTCCCATATTGCTGTATCATTCTGTAGCCATCTATGGGCCAAGTTTAGAGACCTTCCTTGTGCAGTATTTATCAGTGGATTGCTTATGTCCTGCTACAAGGACTTAAGTTCTCATTGCTGTTATGAGTATTTGCACATTACAGACCCGAAGGAAGTCTTAGGTACAAGGGGATTCTGAAATCCATGTATGGGAGCATGGTGGTCTTCATAAAGCCTGTGCTTTCACTCTCCTCTTTTTGGTAAGGAACCAGCCTAAAACCTGAAAGCCTGGTGCTGCTCTGCTTTAGCCCTGCTTCCAGCTGCTTGTGTACCTGAAAGCAAGCATATGTCGATAGTGGATGTTGCACTGGGCAAACAACCGTAACAGTTGTTTTAAGAGTACAAGGACAGGAGATCCATCTATAGAAAAATGTCAAGTGAAATCTACTTCTCGGTAGCTTTGGCAATGTGTGCTACAAAATACTTCAATAAATCCTACTTTATAGCCAGCATTTTACATGCTATTGTATGTATTACACAGGTAATAGAACACGAGGTCTTTTTTTCTTCTTTAGTATTGCGTAGTCTTAGGAAATGTGAAAGCAAATAGGCATTTTGGGTTTCCAGTGCAGGAGAACTGAATACAGATCACACAATATCTATACAGGATGGCATTTTCTATCTGTTTCCTCCGTATTTGGCCACCCAGTCTGTTCTTCCATGTACTGGCTGAATTGTTGGTGGGCGAGTTAGAATAGTCATGTTTTTTGGTGCTGAATTGAAAGTGGGACCTGGTAACTGAGCACGGGCAGCTTTGGGTTTCCAGGAATAATCTGAAAGGAACAAGAACTCCAAATTAGTTATGACTTAACAGGTATTTCACTTGTTTACAGATAAAAGAGTAAGATCTTGAAGATGATATGTGGTACTCAAGGATGCTAACACAGCAGGATGCTTTGGCCTCTGATGTGCTGCCTGTGCTTATTTTCAGATAACGCTAATGTTTCCTATAGTTTGTGTATCTTATTAGTAATTCTACTGGATACTTGTTTTGCAATAATCCCTTGAGAGAACACTGAGGCTGAAATTCAGTGGAAAACCTGACGCGTATGTCTACAACTCTGCAACTCTCATTACAAAATGGCTACAGAATGGAAGTGTTCTTTCCTCTATCTCAAATATTTTTAAAAAGCATACAATTACAACATTGCTAAACTTACTAAAACCCAAACAACCTAGACTGAAGGACAGCTTCTGGAGACCATCTTGTTCCTTTTGAGATTTTATGCCTTTTATTCCCCTCCTGCTTAGCTGAGAACTCCTGGTGTACCTGGTGGCAAGTCCTCTTCATCTCCATTTCCCGCTTCTGTGTCGATTTTTGTAGGATCTGTTCCAAGTCCTCCTTTTTTTTTATCCCTTATATTGGCATCCACCTGGTCTCAGGCACTGGTAGTAGTGCATTATAATATTCCCAGCCTTTTCTACTCAGCTTTCCCCTTTCTGCATTTCAGACAGTCACTAGTTCCTCAGGCTTGATGTGATTAAAGTAATTCCCCTGCTGCAGGGGCTGACTGCCTATTGTTTCCTCCATGTTCATCACCAATTCTGCCATTTTCCCAAGCCTTTAAAGTCAGTCATTTGGGGACCTCTCTTATATATAAAAAGAAATCCTATTAGGATTTGTATCTATAAGAAATATATGTACTCCTGCTACACCTTACCATTGTTTCCTTAGCATTCCTAAAGTATGTCCTGCCCCTTCCATTCCTACTTTCGTAGTTCAGTCTTTTATTGGGTATTACTGATTTTTTTTTTTTTAATACTTATCCATAACATGTTAAAAATACTTTTTTTTTTTGTGCCTACATAACATTCTGTTTCTTATGGAAAACCGCCTATCTTTGGTGGTATTTTTCAACAGTGGGTTCAACCCGTTCAGGAACAGATGAGGATCAAGACATTTAAAAAGGAGGAATCTCAAGGAACTGAAGCTGGTGGTCAGGCCTCCACCTCTTTGAAAACTAACACTGTTCCTTTTTATTGTAGGCTGGCATTCCCTATCCTTCATCAGCAAGTATGATTCCAGCCTGCCCTCTCGGCAATGAAGGTCACTTTTCTCTGGTCTCGGCACTGCATTTTCCTCAGAGAAATTGATCTTTTATACTACATTAAGTTATTCAAATTATGGCATTAAAAAACTTAACAAATTAAGACAGCAAAAACAATTGCGAGCATAACTTAATTTCAGTTTGGATAATACCAAGCAAAGGGTCACCAAACATGTTAGTGTTCAAATATTGACAGATAGGAGATAAGGATGAAGCAAATGGCAGGTTTTTTTATCTCTCTTCCCATGCAAGTATGCGGAGTTTGGGCTAAATGCAAGGGGTTTAAGCAATAGGATTCTCGCTCTTCTCCAGGACGTGGAAGAGTCTCTTAATTGATCTCCATCTGCCAGCCTTTCTGACTTTTACTACACATTTTCCATTTCTAATTACAGATTAACAGTGAATTTATTTCCCTTTGGATCACCATAAGTAATTCCTTTTCTTTCTCACTATTCACAGCAGTCTAGAGATAGTTGCAGATTTTGTCCTCCTGTGAACTTCTTGATCCGCACACTGTGACAAATCAAAACTCTCGTTGTTGCGTTTCAGCAGTGAGTTGATAAGATAATGAAGTGCAGCTCCAGCCTTCCCTGGTGGGTTTCTGATCAAGTCAGACTCAGAATACGCACACATCTAAGCATACTTTATACATGCGTGCCATCTCCTTTCTTCCCTCCCTCCCTCTCTCCTTCTCAGAAGTCACTTGCAAGTTCCTAGGGGGAACAGGTAACTCAAAAGAGTAAGTCAGCAAAAAGACAACATTATTAAGCAGGACCATATCAGATTGGTCTGCCATAGGCCCTTTAGTTAATTCACAAAAAATTGCTATTTCCCCTGAAGTAACTAGAGAAGTGTGCTGCTGGGTTTCGGACAATGGCTCTAAATCTTCACTCACAAACCAGTTTCTCCTGCATCCTGAGCGCTTCTGTTCATCTCTGCATCAGTACCAACAAAGAAGGTGCTCAGAATGCCATCTGTACCCCAGAGGATCCAAGGTAACAGTTACATTCAGAACAGATTTCACATTGTTTTTAACTGATGAATGGCAGTGTCTTTTAGTGTGTTTGTCAATGTAATGTACAGCTACCTCATTACTGTATCATAACTATTAAGAACCGGTCATTTGCATTCCCTTGTTTGGCTTTTACCTTCTATAATGTAGCAGCATTGAAAGTTTCACTTCACAGAGCACTCTTGTGATATTTCATGGGTACAAGAGTTGTGTCATCTCAGTATCCAGAGACTTGCATAGCCACCATAGTGAGATGAAGACACAGTGCAAACCTCCCTTACATGACCACTGCAGAAATCATGGGCCAATTAGACAGGGCCAGTAAATGAGAGCGCAAATAATTTTAATTTACTGCTTATACCGTATCTGTAACACTATTTGTGAATTTACTAAGTCACTTGATGAAGGTCTTGGCCTTTATTGAAATTGTTGAGACCACTGTAAGCATGGATCAACATCATTCAATTGCATTAAGTGACATTAAAGTGATCAAAACACATACAAGACAGCCCCAAGCTACATGAAAGTCACTGTCAAGAAAATTCCTCCAAATCCACTGAAATACAAGGCTTTTTTAAAAAACTTGAATTTATCTATTTTGCATACTTACTTGTTGGTGACTGTACCAACTCCTACTAGCTACAGCAATCACAGAGTTATATTTGTGTCCAATCTACATGACCATTTACTATAGAGTTGTGGAGTTACATACTTTTGCAGTTCTGCTTAGCCCTTCACCACTAATGAACAGTAGTTTAGCAAATGGTACAAACCTTCTAGAATTAAAAAACATTTGTACCTTTATTTTCTCTTTTACCTAACAAATAATAGTAGCAACAGTTTCTCTGGGTTTCAGGATTGCCTCTAGTCACCTATGTTCCATTCATTTACATTAAGAACAACTTACGCCTGAGAATTTTATTTACAAAACTTGAGGAAAACCCTACTAAGGGCTTATACATTTTTTAGGAAGCATGGGAAACGAATATTTCTCTTTGTCTCAGTTATGTATAGTAAAAGGGCGTTTCTTACCTGATACAGGTGCAGCAAGAGGAGCTAGCTGTATCCGTTGTCCAGCTGATCCAACTTCTTTTTTATGAAAAGAAGGGATATATACTCCTGGTGGGTTGTAAGCAGCACCACTGACAAAGCTGGGATTTCCTGTTGATGTTACAGAGCTTTAGTATTTTCAGTTGCATTCAGAAAACCTTGCCTACATTTTATAGTCACTTCAAAATACATTTGCAGTACCACAAGAGTAAGTGTGAGTGTTCTTTAAAAACTCCCTAGTGCTTGTCTGTTGGAAAAAAGTATGTATTCATTCTTTGCTTTGTGTATTGGTTGAACCCTTTACGGCACCTAAACCGACTCGCTAAGTTGCAGAAAAAAAAACCGTTAAACTTCAACCACATAGAAAGGTTTACAGGGAATTTTTGAGAAAGGCAGGATCTTACCTTTTACTTACAGCTACTTGCTTTACTGGAAGCTGGTTTAAGCACTTCAGTATTTGAAAACTAGCGCTCAACAGTACTCTTGTGCTCAAGATGTTTGGCCTAAATCTATCTAAAATAATGGAACCAAACTTCTCTTGGGGGAAGTGGTGCACCACTTGAAACTGACTTTGCCAGTTCCAGCGTTAAAGGCCTGTTATAAAAGTCAGACCCAAATTACCTTCTTTCTTTAACCCCAGTTATAATTTTATTGTGCCTAGTTTTGGTCCAGATCTTTGTCTTTAAAGCGGTGCTACCTTGGGAAAGTTGGCATAACCATCCTCATTTGGAAGCTGAGAAACACTGTGCATTTACACTCAAAGTTAGAACTGAAATTATTGTGCAGTGACAGAGGGATCTGTTACAATATCTAGACTCCCTGCTCCAAGACAATTTCTTACCTTCTCCATGTCTGTCATCACTTGGGACAGTGTTAAGACTGTACTGGCATAGTGTCCAGCGAAAAATGCTTTTCTCTAGTGGTGTGTTCTGTATTCAGTAGTATTAAAGTGGTGAACTACAAGGCCATACACAGTAGTTTTAATTTTACCTTTATCAAGTGTCAGCATTTTTATCATATTAATATTCAGCATGGTTTTAATGATAGTTGCAGTCAAACATGCAATATCTGATTTGACAGTTTTTCTGTCTCCTAAATCTCTGGCCTCGGTGCAGTCCCAAAACGTTCCTCTTCACACAAACACTCCCAGTCCTCGGTGATACTTTCAGTGCTTAGAGCAGTAGATCTATAAGCTGCAAAATTGGTCATCTACAACCCCAAAAAGGTATCATCAGCTAACTACAGCTGTGTTGGGTCACTGCATACCTCCCCGTTCAGGAGCACTAACAAAACGCATTCAGCTAACTCAGTTTTGCCAGTCTCCCTAAACTGTCACTTCTATCAGTCCCGCAAATAGTTGGGTCTCCACGTGGCTTCCCTGTGTCCAGTTGATGCCAGTCTCCAGCACAGTAAAGAATGACACAAAAGTCCTGGTGAAAAATAACAACTTTAATAAAGTAGTCTAATAAAATTTAACTTTCTTTTAGTCTTCAAGTTGTTCTTCCTTTTTCAGGAATTTGCCTGAAAAACAAAAGCAACACAGCTTTAGTGGTTCGTTCACGTGGCTGTGCACATACACATATTCTCTTATTCCCCTAGTTCCTAGATACTTCACTGGGAGTGGTTCATAGCTCTGACAGCTCAGTAGCACTCCTTAAAATTCTGAGGTCTGGAAAGAAGAACGTGACAGGCCTCAATTAATGTAACCTCAGAAAGAATACTTCTGTCTGCTTCTTATCTACAGCTCAGCAAAGCTGCCTATCCATCAAAAATTGCTCAACCACTTTTTGGTTCTCCTTACCTCTCCATGTCCAGTGTCCTTTATGAATCCTTTTGCAGGAAATGAAAGAGTGCAGCCAGAAGGAACAATCTGGGTGAAACGGAGACGGCTGGAGGGGTGATCTTTTGTTGGACTAGAACAAGGGAAGGAGGAAAAAAAAAGATCAATATAAAATTATAGAATAACTACAAATAAAAATAAAATCCTATTGAAAAGCTCAGTTCCTTACCTCTGACCACTGCTGTACAAAAGAAGGGGTTCTTGCTATGGAAGTATTTATCCCTCAGGCATCCAGGAGGTCTGGCTGCAGGTGTACAGGCAAGCACTCACGGCCATGATGTCAGCAAATGTAAGTGTGGCCTGGGCTGTATCCCCTACCTCAAACAACGCATACCTGATCCTTCATAAAGTCATTGAATCGTTTGAGATGGGTAGCAAGTTCAAAACATGAATAGTTGGAATGAGACAGCGCACAGGTGGTGCACACCAGAGGAGCCAGAAACTGGGAGAGAGGTGGAACATTCCAGCCGCTTTCCCGTGCTCGCAGCAAACGGTGTGTTTGGACACAAACTAGGCTGCCTGGAAACCCGAGTTTCCACCCTCTTAGGCTAAGGTAAGTCCACCAAAATCTATGCAATCACAGCGCTGTAAAAGACAGAGAATCAGAATGCAGCCAACAGTGCAAGTCCCCAGTGCCGTTATGAACAAGCTGTCCTTCAGGAGAGAGGCATACGCTGCTGCTTTAGGATCGTTTCTCCCACCATTATCCAGCAACAGTGCAGTGACATGCTGTGGGTTATAATTAAGGTAATAAAATATTCTCTGTCTTTTAAAGCACCTAAGTGTCAAGAGTGCAGAAGTCACAATGAAGAGAGCGAGGCTTGACAAAACAGGTAACAGCTGAAAATGAAGTATGTAGTCATCTGGAATCTGCATTAAAAGTGCATTTTTTACAAGAAAGTGTAAAACATAAATACGAAATGTGCAAAGAACCAGGTTATAAATGCTATAAATTACCTTTTGGATCCTCTAATTTTTCATTCAACCTTTCTTTGCATGATAGCTTTTCGATAGGTATAATTAAGTTTTCATCTGTAGACAATGAAAATGAAAGGAAGAAAAAGATGGAAAGACAGAACTTTAGAAAAAGTGTATGAAGAACCTGGATAGGTGATATAAAATAAAGGAGGGAAAACAAAGCAAGCAAGAAAAAATACCTGACATTTTTGTAACTATAATGTCTCAATCCTATGTTTTCTCAAGAAGGAAATGTTACTCTAACAAGTTACTTTACAAGGTCCTTTCTAATAATGGAATAAAAATGTGATTTACCAACAATGCAATCACATTTCAGTCACACAAATACATAAATCACAAGGTTAAGCACTTGGGCATATTTGCAAAGTTGACTGATCATAACCTTACAATTCTTCATAAATAAAGCATTTGTAGCTATTTGCTCTTATCTTACTTCACCATAGGGTAATGTTGTGGATGAGGGGGGAAAAAAGCCCCACTTAAATAAACTAAACAAAGTTATTTAAACAGTGAACAGCACAGTGCCAACTTTCAATTATGTCAATAGGCAAAAAGGAAACAGAGAATGTACGTGTTGTATTTCTGCCATTGGTGCTCCAGCTATCCTGGTTTTATGTGTGTCTGCCTTAAATGTTGCTGCCTCCCCAGTATATGAAACTCCACATGCGATTCAAGATACTGACGGAAATACTATCAAGTATTTTCAAATATACAAAATATTCAGTTTTAAGGGTTTTTTTCTTCAAACTTTTGGTAGATACCCAAAGTAAGCCAGTAAGACAAAAGCAGGATTTTTACCATTAGCATTCATCTTATTTTCAGTGCAATTCAGTAGGTAGATGTCTAGCTTATTGGTGCATACTTTAGGAAACAGCTCTTTGCCTTTTTGTGCCTAATTCCCTTGCAAGACTATTTTATGAATATATATCAATTAATTCTGAGGCACCCAGATACTGTATTTCAGAAAAGAAAAAGGTACACAAGATGATTGCTTAAAAAAAGTCTGTCCTACTCCATCAAATTCTGGTAGGTGCTGTTATTTTTCCACTTCCTAAAAACTTTCACATAATTTCAGATGCACAAGTTACAGCTCACCTGACTTTCAGAGGGAAAATCAGGTTCGTTGACACTGCAGAATGGCTACTACAGTTCTATTAAAAAGGGGTGCATCATTCAAAAGTTCTTTCCATACAAGCATGTACGGCTAGGTGGTCTATTGGCATGGAAGTATTTGGGAGTGCCTCATGCTAGCTGGACAATGGCTGCAAAGTTGTTAATGATGTAACCTCCCATAATAGGGTGATGGAACTGCGTACTTCAAGTATAGGGCTTGGTTGGTTAGAAGACAGATTTTACTCTTGAGTCTGATGCCTTCCTCGGTAAAATCTTAGATAAGCTGTTTAGTCCTAGGCTCCACTCTATAAAATGCTGATAATGGTGTTCTTCACAAAACGTAGTACCAAAAGGCACCTTGCTGCAAGTTCCTTGCCGAAAATAAGGGAACTTTGCATGCAGCAAAGTATTTAGGACAAGGCTAGTAGATTGTCAAAAAGACATGTTTAGAATACTAGGCATTTCACTACATGAACGCACCACCCATCCTCTTTTTTTCATATGTGAGACTGCTGTTTGATAGTGTTCCATGGCACACTGACCAGGCAAGTAACGAGGTCAAACTATTTGCTTAAATTAACACAGTAAAGTAACGGTCTAAGAGGATTACGGACAAAATTTATCTTGACAGAGCTTTATAACAGAGGCTGGTCTATACTACTTTTATGCTCTGAAAGCAAAATACATAGTTTACATATGAAGGTAGCCTAGAAGCTAAGCCTGACAACAGAAGTTAAACCAGATGGTCTTAACTAAATTCTTTAAAGTATGATGTGATGAGTTTTAATTACACTTTTTACCTGTAGTATTTCTGTTGAAAGTCACTCCTCTTCCAGTATGTGCCAGTGGTTTAGAAAACAACTGGTTGCTCAAGGTTCCATGTGGTCCTTCTTTATTGACTGCTACTAAAGAGACACTCTTAGGATTCACACCTTAGAAAACAAATTATGGGAAATGTTCTAACTATCAATTTTCAAACATAATTCAACCAATGAAAAATGGACATTTCTAGAACAGTAAAACAACACTGAATTATTTGTGGTGTGATGTAAACACCGTTAATGTAAAGAACTATGTCCATCGATTAGGTTAGATTTTTCAGCCAGACCATCAAAACTAAGAGACACTGATTTAAGAACAATTGTCTTCATGCTTTCAAAAGAACTTTTGAAAGCCCTTTTAGTACAGCTACTTGGTTTCTATAAAACTGTAATTTCATTATTGATATTTTTGACTCTCAAACAACACAGATTAAAAATACCTATAAAAAACTAGGGTTCTCAAGGCTGAAAATAACTTATCCCTTGAAGAAATAGTTCAAAAAGTAGGACAAAGAGGTTCTTGGCACTTCAGCGTGTTACAAGCATTACAATAGTTAATGAGATTACACAGCATGAAAGCAGCTTCCAGATCTAGTGGTAACAGAATTAAAATAATACAGATCACAAATATGATTCCTGGAGCTATTATTCTCTTAAGAGCTGATATTAATTATTTTTTAGATCTATGGCTTTTTCATTCAAAACTCCCCTAAAATCAGATAGATATTAGAAGGAAAAAAAAAAAAAGATATTAAAAAAGATAAGAAATATAGATGAACTTTCCATTTGTGTTACCTTTAGATAGGGAAGGTTCCCCCCCCCCCCCCCCATTTCTTTTTTTTTTTTTCCTTTTGGACTTAAACTCTTGAGTCTCTGGGCATCCTATTTAACATTCAGGAAGTGATTTCATATTCAGAAGTCATCACTGGCCTAACGAATTCCTGAGGAATTAGTGATACATTGTAACAAAACTACTTGCTTGACAATCAGGAATTCCTCTGTGAGCCACCTAAATTCTCATATGTGGATTATAGTACAAGTCAAGATAGAAGCACTGTAATTGTGGAAACCATCATAGCAATAGAGCTACTAAGTAAGACACCAAGGCAATCATTTGATTATAGAATGTATTCAGAATACTAACCGAAGGAAACACTCTCTTTTCTTTCTCCTCCTTCTCATTCTTACTCTTAGCAATTACATAATTTCATGGTTTTTTTCCTGATAAAATCACCCAGATTTAGACTAAGCTATCTATTTATTTTTAAGAAGGATGACTGCCTTGGGAAGGGAAGTGAGTGGGTGAATTCCTACTACTGCAAGGGGTTGATATTTCTGAACACTTCCTACCTGTGCTTATCAGAACTTTAAGTTCAAAAAAAGCCCCAAACCTCCTGATATTGTAAAACTGAGAACTATGCACTATATATTTATATATGGGTAGTTTCTTTAGTCCTCAGATGCACTTGCTTATGGTCAATCAGGATATATTCCTAGGAATCCAAGAGATACTGAATTCCTATTACTGAGGGTTTTGTATGTTACTGGTCACAAGAGGGCCTGTGAACTTTTGCAGTGTACAAGCAGTGTTGAGCTCCCTTCCATGTTCACATGGGCAGGACCATCTGCATCAGTTGTGATATGATATGCTCTAGGAAAGGCATTTAGTCCAAAACTTGAAAATCTAGCCTGCTTATGAAAAGTGAAATTATCCAGTGTAAAATCTGAAGTTTAAATGTACTGTACATAGATTGCTCACAGCTTGTATTTTCCACATGTATTGACTTTTACCCTTACCGGGTAGGTATCTTGATTGTCTTAGATAGTACTGTTTTGCTGATGCATTTGATCTTCCAGAATCATTTCTCATCAAAACCTTATTTTCCCCTCCTGGCTGGATACAGCATGAAGCTTTTGGTTCTGGCACACTGAAAAATCAAAATGTTCAAACGATGTTACCAACAACTCCAGCTCAGAATACCACAAGCTGACCCTAGCCTGAAGAGTACAGTGCTCTTCTCTTATCCTGCCTTTGTCAGTAGAATTTATTCCCACAGCAAGTAACAGCCAAATCTTGTACCTCAGGAGAGTTTGACCTGGGACTCCAAAGAAAAAAAAAAAAAAAGTATCCAACACTAGTAAATAAAAGCAAATGTGGCTTGTAGCAGAACTTTCCCTG